GGGGGAACCTTTTGGAGGAGGTGGAGGGAAGAAATGAGAGAAGAAAGGAGGAGAAAAAAAAAAAAAAAAAAAAGAGAGAGAGAGAGAGAGAGAAAAGAAAACGATCAAAACGGGGGGAAGGAGAGGGGGGTTGTGTGTGTCTTTGTATCTCTCTTTGTGTGTGTGTGTGTTTTGCGGCGCCAGCAGCAGAAGGAGGAAGATGCTTTATTCTTTTTCTTTGGCTTTTCCTTCCGTCCCCCCCCCCCCACCCCACCCCGCCCCCTATTTCCCTTTATTCATTCGTGATTCGCAGGCTATGAGCATTGTTTTATTCGTTGCGTCTTGCCGTTGCGTTTCACCTTCCTTTTTTTTGTTTGTTTGTTTGTCTTCCCTCTTTTTTTTATTTATTTATTTGTTTTGGCCGCCGCTCCATAAACACTTCCCCCCTCCTTTTTTTTTTTTTTTTTTTTTGGTTTTCTCTCCTTGTGATTTGTTATTTTTGTTGTTTTTCTTTGGGAAGGAGGGAATTGTTCAATTTAATTTTTCTTTTTTTTTTTCTTTTTTTTTAAATTCCCCCCGCCCGCCCACTTCCCAAATTTGTCTGTTTATTTTTATTTTTATTTTGTCTGGCGCACGGCTCCGTCCACCCGCCATACCAGTACGGGGCTCCCACGAATAACAGACCCCTAACCAACCAACCAACACCCCAAATTGTTTTTTACTTCCATTTTTATTTCTATTTTTTATTTTTTATTTTTTTTTTTGGTTGTTTTTTTTGTCGTTGTTGTTGTTTTTGTTTCCTCCATCCTTCCCTCCCTTCCTCCCTGTCTGTCTGTCTGTCTGTCTCTTCGCTCAATCCCAATGGTGCTGCGGTACGTGTGCGTGTGAACCGTCATGCACGACTCATCACACAAAATGGCCCTCGTGTGTTTCTCCTCACAGTGGAGGGACAACAAGAAAAAAAAAAAAAGGGGGGGGGGCAGAGCCAGACGACTCACACACTCACTCAGGCAGGCAGCTCATTGAAAAAAAAAAAAAAAAAAAGAAGAAGAGAGAGTGGGAAGGGGAGGGAGGCAGAAGGATGGAGAAAACGAAAACCGGAAAAAAAAAAAAACACCAACCGCGCCAAGATAAATAATAATAATAAATCAGGGTCTGGCTACATACGCATACACGCTGTATTTCCTCTGTGTGTTTGTGTCTAGTTGTTTGGCTGTCCCTTCTTTTTTTATAGGGGATTTTTCTCTATGTGGTGTGGGTATACGTTTGATTGCATCATGCAGACGGGGAATTGGCTAGGCGAGTGACAAGGAGGGACGTCGTTTCAATGGCACACACGCCTTGTCTCATTATTTCGTTAATTATTCATTTTTTTTTTTTTTTTGCTTTTTGCTTTTCCTCTTCTTTTTTTTTTTTTTTTTTTTTTTTTTTTTTTTTTTTAGGAATTGCGTCAAGGGGCTGCGTGGAGGCCAAAGACGGGAGAAGACGTGGCGCAGGCCGGCAACCGTGAGAGGTTTTATATCTGCTGCGTGGCACTGCAGGGGGGGGGCGGGTCTTCAGTTTGCCCAATCACGTTTGCGACGCCCGCAGGCGAACCCCAAATGAGTGTGGTAAAAAGCCGCCTTCAAAAGGAGAAGGTGATGGTGTTGGATGGGGCAGAAAATGACACGACGGCAGGTGACAAGTTCCAGATGGTTGAGATGGACAGCAAGAAACCATGTGACACTCACACTGCGGCCACTCGTATTATTCCGCTAGCCCAAACGCTGCCTGAGTTTCAACTACAGTTTGACAGCAACAAGGCTGGTTTGGATTTGGCGGATGCGAACAAGACGACAGCTATCATCCAAGAGGCATCGAAAGGTTCCAGTTATTACATAAACGAACGGCGAAAGGCTGAGATCCGGCAGAAACACGTGCTGCAGTTGCGTCAGAAGTCAGCGCAATTCGCACAATACATGAGTGGAGAAAAGAATGCAGCATGCAGAAAGCAGTGGGAGAGGAAAGTTAGTCAAATTGAACAAGAACTGGAGGCAGGACGTCATTTCCGCAACTATGTGCACGTGGACATGGACATGTTCTATGCCGCAGTGGAGATGAAGAAGAATCCCTCACTTGTGGACGTCCCGTTGGGCGTGGGGACCTTTGATATGCTCTCCACAACCAACTATGTGGCACGGCGCTACGGCGTGCGCTCCGGGATGCCCGGGTACATTGGCGTGAAACTCTGCCCGTCACTCGTTATTGTGCCAACAGACTTTGATGCCTACCATGCAGAGGCCGCCGTGGTACGTGGCATTGCGGCCGCGTACGACCCAAACTTTACCAGCGTGGGTCTTGACGAACTGACAATGGAGGTGACAGCGTACCTGCAGCAGCACCCCGGCATGACCGCGGGGGATGTTGCGTCCGAGTTCCGTGCGCGCGTGTTTGCGGAGACGCAATTGACAGCCAGTGCTGGCATTGGCCCGACGGCGACGCTCGCCAAGATTGCGAGTAACTACGAGAAGCCGAACGGCCAGCACGAGCTCCGTCTGCGGACGCGGGAGGATGTCATGGAGTTTATGAAGGATCTTCCCGTGCGCACAGTGCCTGGGATTGGCCGCTCCACAGAAAGCATCCTTCACGGCCTGGATATCAACCTTCTTGGGGAGATATACGATCGGCGTGTTGAGCTGTGTTACATTCTGACAGAGAAGACATTTTGTTTTCTTTTAGGCTCTTCCATGGGCGTGGTGCGCTGGATGGACGCTGACACGAATGATGGAATTGAGCGAACGACGGAGGCTGAACGGAAATCTATCGGTATGGAACGCACATTTAGAAACCTCTCAAGTCGCCTGGAGTTGCAGCAGATTGCACATTCAGCCCTGCAGACGGCGCATCGTCGACTTGAGGAAAATGAATTGGTTTGTAGACAAATCGTCCTGAAGACCAAGCGGGCGAGCTTTCAAGTGCATCAGTACTCTAAAAATTTGCCACAACACTCGGATGATTTAGAGACTCTCCGTCGTGGAGTTGACGAGCTTTTGCTTCGTATTGCGGACCAATACGCGTTCTTGCGACTGGTGGGTGTGCGGCTGGCGGATATCATCACAAAGTCTGAGTACGAGGCTCTGCAGCGGGGTGGCATGCAGCGTACTCTGTTGCAGTACTGCAGTCGTAGCTATTCCAATTGTCGCACGGCAAGTTGTGGGGTCAAAAAACCAATAAAAGAAGAAGTGAATTGTAAGGATGAGAATAATGGTGTCGAGGTGTTGTGTTGCTCAGCGAATAGGGATGCAATGTACGATGAGGAGGGTGACGATGATGTGGTGTGTGTGAGTCCACCGGTGAAGTTGAGGCGGTCTGAAGGTAACAGTAGTGGTGGTGACGACATCATCGTGATTGATTGAATGTGTGAGGCTCAGCTGTATTCTCTCTCGCGTATATTTGTTACGGATACCCTTTCCGTTACCAGAGCAAATTTTTTTTTGTTTTGTGGGGCGACGAGTGCGAATTGCACTCCGGATGTATTTCTCTATTTTCTCTTGACGTTGTGTATTTGTCAAATTCTCATCATTGGTGTTGTCTGCCCGTTTTTTTTTGTTTGTTTGTTTGTTTGTTTTGTCGTTGTTGTTGTTCTTTGAAGAGCTGCCAAGGGACTGTGTGAGTACCTGCCGTCGTTGCTGCGGCCAGTGCGATGAAGTACGTGTGTGCTCACGGCTCCGCAGGTGCATCTCAAAGCGGCGTGGCGGTGTCGACAAGAACAACGAGGCCACCAACATGCTCCTCCACCATTCTTGCGCTTCAACGTAAAAACGCAGCCCTCACCAACGACCTTGAGGAGTGTCTTGGCATTTTTCGTGACGCACGTGCGTTTACTGACGAATTGGAGAAGAAGGTGGCTGCCGTTCCAGAATTTTTGTTCTCCATGCAGCAGCAGATGCAAAGCCTTATGCTGCTACAGCATGGTGTTTTTTTAGGGAACGCGACCGTGCTTTTCCAACTGTGGCACAGGGACCGTGAAGCGTTGCTCGATGCATTTGAACGGCAGGCAAATGATGCCTATGAGAGCTACCAGTGCAAAAACCGGAGGCTTGTTGAGCAGCATGAGGCTGAGCTGGAGGAGGCTCATGGTGAGTGGCAACGCGCTCTGGAATCCACGCAGAAGGAAATGGTGGAGTTAACACGACGGCTTAACTTAGCGGAGGTGGACGAGGGGTTGAAGGTGAAACACATGCTTCTAAAGAAGGCGGCTGCCGTCATTGAAAGAAAATACTGCGGTGGATGCAATAAAGAGACGCAGACGAGTCACAGCGTCACGACGGCGGCGTGTCAGACGGCGGATGTCTACCGCCGTTCTGCAGCTGCTCAAACAACAGAAGGAGAACTGTCGTGGCATCAAGAGCCAAGACGACCCAAAGAGGAAGCAGAAGAAAAGGAACCGGTGCCACTTGTGGTTCCTCCAGTGGCATTTCCTGCAGAGGCTCCATTGAAGAGCCCTGCACCACGCGAAGAGCGGCGAAAAGAAAGGCAACGCGATGCGATGGAGCTCGACACGCTTCGTCTGGAGTTGCG